GACCCAAAGTACCCTTTATCTAGAGCTAACCAATCTCCACTACTAAGACATGGCTTTTCTGAGAACCCTACCCAATGCCCCTGTATTATAGTATCTCTTAAGTTTGGCAGTGGGAACATAAACTCTTCCCACCACTGTGTGTGCTCTATTATTTTCCAGTGGTACTTTCTCCAGCCTTGTGCAGTTTCACCCCACACATGTGCAGATCATTACTCCACCAAAGACTAGGGTAATGTTTTGGCAATTCCCTCTGCAAGTTTGTGGCACACTCTCTGTGCAGCTTCCTTATCTCTGGTATTTTGCCCTGCAAATTCTACCCACTTTGGGCTCTACAGAATCTGTTGCCTCAACTCAGAGAGACTATTGGTCTCTTTTTTGGTTCCCCCACACTGTGAAGCAGCCTGGAAACTCTCCAGGCCATTTTCTGAGGCAATTATAGTTGTCCTTTTTTTTTCCCTCTTTCAGGGATCACAGAATATATTGTTTATTGAACAGTGTTTGAAAACAGTTGAGTCATAGTTTTTGTCCGGTGTTCTAGTTATGGGAAGGTAGTTCTCATGGCTGTTTGATCCTCTATAAAAGAGGTAAAAGTTTCTCACATACGTGTTTTAATATCACAAGGACAGTGTTACAGATATAGAGTAGTAATCAGTGGAAGCTGGTTGAAGGGAGAAAAATATTGAGATTGTATGAACTTGTATAGGACTCTCCTCTCTGAATACTATTATTAGAAATTGAATGTGATATCTTTTTTCTATATTATATAAAAACTAATATTCTCCCAAAATAAATATTGATTTTTTAAGAAGTCTTTAAATTTGTTTTTCTTTCTAGAAGAAGTTATGAGAAGCAGATTAATAACCTATTTGTAATTCATAGATGTAGTGGCAACTTTAGAATAAAGAGTAAAATGGAAAATATTTTAAAGGTAATCATAATTATATATTATAGTAATGTGCCCTTTAGAGTCTGATATGGTAGCTATCCTCTCAAGAACAATTATATATCCTTTTTTTAATGGGGGAAAAAACGTTTTAAGTTAATGTCTCCCTTTGATATATTTTTAAAAATAGTTTTTCTGATAACCTCATGGAAAGTTGATTAGATCTACTAGTGACTAAGTAAAATTTTTTAGAAGTCAAGTAAAAACATAAGATTATACCATTAGTAATCCTTCTAATATTTTCCTTGACATGGTTTACTTGGCTATTTTATAATCTACCCCCATTTACCAATTGGATTCTTAATATTTTAGTTTTTATTTATGTGGAGTTTTTTTTATCTAATCTAATAAAAGACAAACATGCAAATTGACCCTACCTTCGCTATGCCTTAAGCCACACCCACCAGCCAATCAGAGCAACTATATGCAAATTAACCCAACCAAGATGGCGGCCGGCAGCCACTGAGCTGGAG